GACGCACAAATGGCTTCCTAGAAGTCCACAGGCACCTACGTCGACGAGGTTCCCCCACCTGGGGCGAACATCGTCAATGGGATGTGGATCTTCAGGGTGAAGCGGCCGCCTGGCTCTCCGCCTGTCTTTAAGGCGCGTTACGTGGCTCGAGGCTTCAGTCAGCGGCAGGGAGTTGACTACTTTCAGACCTTCTCTCCCACCCCGAAGATGACCACTCTTCGGGTACTGCTGCACATAGCCGCTCAGCGCAACTACGAGCTTCACTCTCTTGACTTCAGCACAACTTTCCTGCAGGGCAGCCTGCACGAGGAGATCTGACTGCGCCGCCCTCCTGGCTTCACTAGGTCGTTTCCTCCTGGTACCCACTGGAGCCTATGGCGGCCAGTCTACGGTCTCCGTGAGGCGCCCCGTGAGTGGCACGACACACTGAGGACTACACTTGCGGCTCTTGGGTTTGCTCCTTCTACAGCCGACCCGTCGTTGTTTCTACGCACCGACACCTCTTTGTTGCCGTTCTACAGCCTCGTGTACGTCGACAACTTGGTCTTTGCCACTGCAGACACTGCTGGACTCGCCCACGTGAAGTCCGAGCTGCAGAAGAGACACACGTGCACAGACCTGGGTGAACTGCGCAGCTACCTTGGCTTGCAGATCACCCGGGCAGAGCACAGCGCACCATTACACTGACTTAGTCACACATGGTGCAGCAGGTCCTTCAGCGCTTCGGCTTCACGTACTCCTCGCCTCAGGCCACTCCTCTGTCTACTCGCCACTCGCTCTCAGCTCTACCTTCGGATGAGTCCGTAGAGTCGAGTGGCCCATACCCAGAGCTTGTTGGCTGCCTCATGTACCCGATGACCTGCACACGACCTGACCTTGCATACCCTCTTAGCATCTTGGCACGCTATGTTGCTTCTAGGAGACACAGACCAGAGCACATGGCTGTAGCGAAGAGGGTGTTGCGCTACGTGTGCAGTACGTCAGGCATGAGGCTAGTGCTTGGAGGGCGACGTCGAGTAGTCCTCACAGGTCACGCTGACGCTTCTTGGGCTGACGACCAGGCTACGCAGCGGTTGTCACAGGGTTACACCTTCAGCCTTGGCTCTGGTTCTGTTTCGTGGCGATCTACCCGCTCGTCCTCTGTTCTTGGCTCGAGCTGTGAGGCTGAGATCTACGCAGGGGCTATGGCTGCACAGGAGCTACGGTGGCTCACCTACCTTCTGACTGACCTAGGAGAGCAGCCTCGTTCTCCTCCATTTCTGTACATAGACAACAAGGCCATGCTGGATTTGTGTCGGGAGCACAGACTGGAGCACAGAACGAAGCAGATTGCTCTCCGCTACTTCCTGTCTCGTGAGCTGTAGCAGCGCGGTCAGCTCCGCCTCACCTATGTGGCCTCTGAGGCCAACACTGCTGATATCTTCACCAAGGCCCTTCCGCCTTGTGATCATCAGCGTTTCTGTACTGTGCTAGGTCTTGTGCCTACCAGGCCTCACTTGCTCACTTCTTGATCTTGTTTGTACTGTATTCTTCCTATACATGCCCTTGCTTATTTTACCTTCATAAATATGTTCTTGCATGTGAACTAGCCTTGTGGCCCTACTCTTGTGCTCCGACTGTGTGGGTACTTTGTGATCCACCCTGAGCTTGCTTTGCTTTGCTTGACTGGTCTTGTGACCACTTTTTCTCCCCCACTTGGCCTATGGGGGTGTGCCAGAACGTTATAGCTTATACATTTTTCAGGCTGTTGTGGGGTAGCCCATATGGGGTACAACCCAATTAGGGTTAGTACTTGTACCCAACTCTTTCATAGTTCATTAATCCATTCTCACTTCTCGTCATTTACCACTCACACACCCCCCTATATCCCATCACTAGCTCTTAATATTCCCAAGAACAACCTCTACGGTTGGTCTTTGTTTCTCTTCCTCTCCCCATCTTTCTCATTCCCTCTCTTTTGTCCCCCATCCTGGCATCCCAATACCTGACTCCTTTACTATCAGCAGCCATTTATTCAGTTGGGATTTTCCTCTCATCTCCCACCTAATTCTCTTCTTTTCCCCCTCCTCACTCTCATGGCCCAACCCCATTATCTCTTCCTCACTAACCATCCCATCACCAGACCCCTAATCTACCAGCAGCGCTCCCTCTATCTCGTTTCCTCTTCTTTATACTCCCCCCCATCTCACTCTCTGTCTTCCCTGCTCTCTCACCCTCCCCTCCTCTCTTTCTCTCACTCTCAACCCCCCATCCCACTACCAACTTCCTTCTCATCCAGCACTGATATCTCACCTGGAGTTTCCTCTCTCTTTCCTGCTCGCTCACTCTCTCTCCCCATCGTCCTGCCATCCCAACACCGGTCTCCTCCTTGTCCAGCAGCAATGTCTTTAGCTGGTTCTCTGACAGCAACACCAGCAGCACCTCTTCTAGTGATCAGTGCTTGCTGTGTCAATGTTAATGTACCGTGGAAACCCGTACTGTAGATTTCTGAGGCTATGGCATAGAGGGGACTGCGCTGGCTCATTCTACCCTTGCCTCTCACTCTCCCTCCTGTGCAGCGAAGGAGCCTGAGCCAGTGGTGCCAAAGTAGTGGTCAATGGCTGATATCAAAGCACCACACAACCACAAATCGAAGATGGTGGGTGCTTGACACCTTTTAAACATTTTTTCTTTTGCGCAAAGCTGGTGGTAACATGCTTAGCATGTCTTTTCCATTAGTCCCATACAGGCATATGCTAGTTCAGCAGCATTAGTAGCAGGTGACGCGAGAAATCTATTCCACCTCGATCATATTGGGAAATCAAATTTCATTTCCCACCATTACTATGACATGCATGCTTCAATTCTTCTCTTGCCTTTCCTTCCTACCATAGTGAGAGTTTGGCATAACATGGCTCATCTGTTTGAGGTGGATACGGCCGAGTTTGGTGACATGGCAGAGAGAAAAAAAAAACGGAGAAGGGTGTTGTTGACTTACGACCATCAAAGACATGCTTTGTGCCTCTATTATTGTGCTTCTAATATGTTAAGGAGGCATGAAAACGTGTATTATTGTAAGGAAAATTCCTTTTCCTTACTTCGCATCCCTGCTCAACGCGTACATCACTATAGCACCACAGTCAGCACCGTTACCACTCGCCACCCTCGCATCGACAATCCGCCCACCACCTTCGCACATCGCGCCCCGACCTCACGGCTCGGCGGGTAACCCGCGCTCGGGGCCTCCGCTTCGACACTTTTTCCCAACCTCAGTCCCAGGCCTGTCGTGCGACAACCACAGTCTATTACCGTTACCACTGTAGTTTCGCTATATATTCATCGCTCATGCCTTTGCTCATTGTACTCTTGCTTCGATAGTGCAATTCTTGTTCATTCACTCAATTGCACTCCTAACACCTGGTATTCAGAGCCTACGATCTCCTCTCGGATCGCACCCACACCTTTGCTTCCCCACTATCTCAATTTTGGGGGCGGGGGTAGACGTCTCTCAGCGACACATCACCGCCGCTGGTAGTGCTCTCTCGTAAGCACGCACGGCCATGACCGAGGCTCTCGCTGAGCTCGCCTGACACCCCCGCCATGGCCGAATTCACACTCGCCACATTGACGCAGGAGCAGCTCGACCGTTTGGTGTGACGCTCACGGCGGAACGTGACTCCTCGCGTCAGCAATCAACGATGAACACTCCAGCGCCACCACCCGTACCGACAAATGCATCTGTCATAACACTATAGCTTATACATTTGTGTAGGCTGTAGTGGGGTAGTCCATAAGGGGTACAACCCAATAAGGGTTAGTACTTGTACCCAACTCTTTCATAGTTCAATCATTCTCGTTTCTCGTCATGGTATCGAGCAGGTTCCCGAGTGGGAATGCTGCCCAGGGCCCACCACGATTTTTTTTCCCTGCCCGGAGCTCACTTCACTTCTACTCGAGTAGCGTTTCGTGTGCCTTACCTACCCTCGAGCCGCCCTTAGTGGCCCCCCTTTGGCTGCCCTTACGGCCCCTCGCGCCGCCCTCTAGGGCCCCTCGCGCCGCCCTTACGGCCCCCTACGGCCCCTCGCGTTGCCCTCTAAGGCCCCTCGCGCCGCCCTTACGGCCCCGCCTAGGCCCCTTACGGCCCCTCCGCGGCCCCGTCTAGGCCCCTTGCAGCCCCGTCTAGACCCCTCCGCGGCCCCGCCTAGGCCCCTTACGGCCCTTCCGCGGCCCCGTCTAGGCCCCTTGCGGCCTCCTCTAGGCCCCTCCGCGGCCCCGTCTGGCCCCTTACGGCCCTGCCTAGGCCCCTTACGGCCCCTCCGCGGCCCCGTCTAGGCCCCTTGCGGCCCCATCTAGGCCCCTCCGCGGCCCCGTCTGGCCCCTTGCGGCCCCGTCTAGGCCCCTCCGCGACCCAGTCTGGCCCCTTCCGGCCCCGTTTCAACCCCTCTACGGCCGCGCTTAGGCCCCCTCTTCGTCCCCGTTTGGCCCCTTTACGGCCCCATTCAGGCCCCGCCACGGCCCCGTCTTGGCCCCTCCGTGGCCCCGTCTGGCCCCTTGCGGCCCCGGCTAGGCCCCTTTTGGCCCCGCTTAGGCCCCTTTCGGCCCCGTCTCAGCCCCTCTGCAGCCCCGCCGCCACCTGCGGCCCCACCGTCACCTGCGGCCTCGCCGCCACCTACGGCCCTGTCGCCGTCACCCGCGGCCCCGTCGCCCTACCCTAGCGGCCCAATCACCGCTCCGCCGCCCAGCGACCGAGCCGCCAAGCAGCACAGCAGTCGAGCCGCCTGCCTACCGAGCAGCCAAGTAGCCCAGCAGCCGAGCCGCCCCGCAGCCGACTGCCGAGCAGCCGAGCCGCCCAGCAGCCGAGCCGCCCTGCCGCTGGGCCGCCCAGCAGCCCAACCGCCCTGCAGTCGAGCCGCCCTGCCGCCGAGCCGCCCTACTGTCTAGCAGCTGCTGTTCCTACCGGTGCTCCCCGGCCCCTCCTTCCTCGGACTGGTGAGCTCACTTCCTCCTAGGCCACTACAGTCATGGCTTCCCCCAGTGTCCTCACTTTTGATGCTAAGGGCCGTGCCGTTGACTTTGAGGGCTGGGTCGATGACCTCCAGCTGTTTCTTCAGTGCGATAGACCGGACGGCCTCTCCCTGTTTGACCTCAATTCTAGTGCCTCTCCTGCCCCTGCTGCTGATGCTGACGCCACTGTTCACTCACAGTGGGCCACGAGCGATGCTGCTGCTGGCCTTGCTGTGCGCCGCCACTTACCGACCACTGAGCGTGCACACTTTAGCCAGTACAAGAGTGCTCAGACCTTGTACGACGCTGTAGTTGCACGCTACTCTTCCCCTGCCACTGTTGCACTGAGCCGCCTCGTGTTACCGTACCTCTTCCCTGACCTTGCTGCCTTTCCCACAGTTGCTGACCTCATTACGCACCTCCGCACTAGTGACACTCGCTACCGCGCTGCGCTTCCTGCTGAGTTCTGCGCCAAGAAGCCCCCCCCCCCCCCCCCATGTACATCACTCTCTACTACATAGTCACCCGGCTCCCTGACTCTCTCCGCGTAGTCAGGGACCACTTCCTCTCAGTCTGTCCCACCACTCTCACCGTTGACCTCCTCGAGAAGGCCCTCCTAGCGATAGAGAAGAGCATAGTCGCTGTAGGAGTCTCTCGTGGTGACCCTCGCACCCCCATCTTTGAGGGGTGTTCTCCCTCCCCCCTCTTGCCCTCTGTTGCCTCTTCTGCTGCGGCCGACCTCGTTGGTTTCGAGTCGGTCGGCGCTGTGTTTGCCCCGAGCGGGAAATGCCGCACCGGCAGGGGCAAGGGGGGCAAGGGCAATGGAGGGGCTGGAGGGGGCGGTGGAGGTGGTGGTGGAGGTAGTGGAGGGAGCGGGGGTGGTGGTGGGAGTGGTGCCGGGGGTGGCGGCGGCGACGGCAGCAGTGGAGGAGGCGGAGGCAGTGGAGGTGGTGGAGGGAGCGGAGGCGGCGGAGGTGGCGAAGGAGGCGGAGGTGGAGGAGGCGGCGGAGGCAGCGGCGGCGGCGGCGGTGGTGGAGCGGGTCGGGACTCTGCGCAGAGGAGTGGCTCAGGTGGTGGTCCGCGCCAGCAGCAGCGGAGTGGTGTGACCCTGTCCCCTCAGCACCTTCGTGAGTGGTACACTGCGCGTCAGCGCATTGGGGGTTTTGGTCTCTGCGCTTACGTCTTCTGTACCGACGACTGAGCAGGTGAGCGGTGCGGAGGCCCGCACTCCACCTAGCGCTGCTTTCGTCGCCTGACGGACGCGTGCAACGCCAGTTCCCTGAGGCGTCAGAGATTTCTTGTTGGGGAGATCTGTCTAAGGCCGGGGCTGCTATCTTTGATCTTGATTTTGATGCTATTCTTGCTGCCATGTATGCTGTTGATACTAGTGTTGCGGGTGACTGTTACCTGTGTGTACCGCCTGACCCAGGCATTGAGGCCGCTGCTCTAGGTGCCAGTGCGTCTACTGCCCCAGATGCTGGTGAGTTTGCTCTCTCAGGTACTACGTCGACTTAGGCCTTCCACACCTTCACCCTAGGTTCGGGTGCGTCCCGCTCCTTCTTTCGAGACCGCACCATTCTTGCGCCGCTCAGTCGACCGGTTGCAATCTCCCTGGTAGACCCCTCTTGTTAGAGACTAAGGACGGAGTCTATGAAGATTAGTAGCCAAAATATCTCAACATCGTTGGGCCTAGTTTATGAACAGAAAAGTCGAGTTCACAAGAAACGCCGTCGACGAAAAGTTCACCGTCAAAACTTCATCAAACTCGAATATGTTGTAGCTCTACTCCGTGGCTACAACTCCCAAGTTGAATCATGCGAAAAGGTGAAGTAATTCTTGAGCTATCAATTTCGGCGCACTAGGGGGTATGCTGCCATAGAATCTTAACTCAATCACAAAGTTCACACAAGAGAATTGGAGTAGCACTAAACCAGGTGGAAGGGATGAGGAGGACGAGAGGGAAGGTCCCACGAGAGTCCCCAACCAAGGAAACCCCATGCCATGCAATTCCCTTCCCCATAGGCAACCCAACTTTGACCTTTGTCACTATCCCAACCTCCACAATCCACCTCAACCCAACTTGGCCACACTTGCCAGCCTGGTTTGGTTTCTCCCAACCATTTGGCAGCATCTACAGTGATGTTGACGAATTTCCCAACCCCCAAAAGTCTGTACCCCATATTGAGTCAACCCCACAACTTCCCATAGTCACCACAACCAAATATAAAAAACATACGAACTCCAACGTTCGTATCTTTCTTGTTCATGCTCCGATTGAAGCGATACTTGGCTCGTCGGAAAGCTCTTGAGCAGAGGAGTCACTTCAGATATCTGCTCAAGCCAAATAACATTCACACACACTCAGAAAATCCAAACCACATCAAACACAAATTCTTGCACACGCTCACACCACGCATGCAACGCACGAACATGTGATGGGAGGTAGACAAACGTGAATGCAAATGATAGCATCACATAACACCTCTTGGGGTCCTGTCCTTGCTAGCTTCTCCACTGTCCTACCGTGCCCGGCAGCCCCCTCTCGCACCATGTCTGGTCTCTACCTCCCCTCGTTCTCTACGAACTTGGTGAGTCGAGCGGACCTACAGGATAGGGACGTTGACCAGTTCACTCCTGCAAGTCAGCTAGTGACCCGCTGCACATGTGCTCGGACAGGCCAACACTTGGCCACGTTCACCCGTCGGCCAGGTTCGAGCCTGTACACCCTTACTACTAAGTCTCCTCCTGCTGCTGAGTCTTCCCAGGTAGCTGCGTCGAGTCAGGTGTTTGCTGCGGCGTCCATGTCTGGGCCTGAGTCTGCTCCCTGTTCGTGTCGTCTGCTGTCCCACCAGACTCTCCTTTGGCACCACCGTCTTGGTCAGCCCTCCTTGCCTTGTCTCCGAGGCATGGCCTCCCGTGTCCTTGTCTTTAATCTCCCTCGGTCTCTCCCATCCTCCGGGGCCTGGCCCTACCTGCGTCCCCTGCGACGAGGGGCGACAGCGCGCCGCCCCTCACTCCTCCGAGTTTCCTCCGACAGAGGCTCCGCTGCAGACTCTCCAAATGGACGTGTGGGGCCCAGCCCGCGTCAGTGGGCAGGTGCGAGAGAGGTACTTTCTGCTGGTGGTTGACGACTACTCGCGTTACACCACACTCTTCCCCTTGCGTAGCAAGGGTGACGTCACTGAGGTGTTGATCGACTGGATCCGCGTAGCTCGTCTCCAGCTCAGAGAGAGTTTCGGCTCGGACTATCCTGTTCTACGTCTACACTCGAACAGAGGCGGGGAGTTTTCCTCTGCGCGTCTGGGAGCCTTCTATCGTGCACACGGCATCCGCCAGACCTTCACGCTTCCGGCCTCTCCATAGCAAAATGGGATTGCTGAGCACCGCATTGGCATGGTCATGGACGTCGCTCGTACGTCCATGATGCATGCGGCTGCCCCCCATTTTCTGCGGCCGTTTGCGGTTCAGTACGCCGCGCATCAGCTCAACCTTCAGCCCCGCGTCTTCTTGCCAGAGACCTCCCCCGCCTTGCGGAGGATAAGGAAGGTTGGCGATGCGTCTGCGTTTCGGGTCTGGGGATCTCGGGCGTTTGTCCGCGACTTGTCTGCGGACAAGCTGTCCCCCCGTGCTGTTCCCTGCGTCTTCGTTGGCTTCCCCCCTGACACGCCTGGGTGGCAGTTTTACCACCCCACCTCGCGCCGTGTTCTGTCCTCCCACGAGGTCACCTTTGACGAGTCGGTGCCTTACTACCGTCTCTTCCCCTACCGCACTACGCCCCTCCCCCCGCCGCCGCTCTTCATTGCGCGAGGTGCTACCCAGGTAGACCCCCTCCCCCCTCAGGGTCTTGCCCCGTCAGGTGTGTCCCAAGTAGACACAGTCGAGCCTGTTGAAGTAGCTGTTGACTCTGGTGCTGCTAGAGGTGCTGAGCCTGCGGGTGGCGGGTCTCGGGGTGCTGAGACTGGGGGTGCTGAGCTTGGGGGTGCTGAGCCTGGGGGTGCAGAGCCTGGGGGCGCTGGGTGTGCTCGTGTGGCCGCCAGCGGTGCTTCGTCGAAGCAGGAGCTGCTCTCTCCACAGGAGCTGCGCGAGTGGTTTGCCCGCCGCTGGAGTCGTGCTGCTGCGACTCGGAGTGCTAGTGGGGCTACTGGAGTTGGTCCTGCTGGAGCTGCTGGCGGTACTAGTGCTGTTGGAGCTGGAGCTGCTTGCGGTGTTCGTGCTGCTGGGCGTGTTGGCGTTGGTGTTTCTATTGGCGCTAGTGTGTCTGGGGGTGCTACTGAGGCTACTGGAGCTGACGGTCCTACTGGAGCAGGTGCTGCTGGAGCTGGAGCTGCTGGAGCTGGAGCTGCTGGGGGTGTTGGCGCTGGTGGTGCTGCTGGCGCTAGTGCTTCTGAGGGTGCTGGAGTTGGCGTTGTTGGAGCTGGAGGTGCTACTGGCGCTGGTGCTGCCGCTGGGGGTACTGGTGCTATCTCCTTGCTAGTTCTAGAGGCGGTGCGCGGCCGTGGCCGTACTTCGTTCCGCTCCTAGAGCAGGTTCTTGGTCTCCCGCCATCTTCTGGTCCTGCACCTGCCTTAGCGTCTCCACAGCCTGTCAAGTCACAGTCACAGTTATAGCCCGCCTCCCCTCTACGTGCTCCTTCTCCCTACACTGGTCCTACTGGAGGTCTTGCTAAGCGTCGTGAGCCTGCGTCTTGTCCTGCGTTGCCTGTTCGTGCTGCTCGTACTAGTGGTCGTACTGCGCGTCCGCGTCCTCCTGCGGTCCTCGGCACACACCAGATGGCGCTGCGTCCTTCCATTGCTCCTCTGCGTGTCCCATTGCCGGCTCCTCCAGAGTCCTCTCTTCCTGTTCTTGCTGACCCGGAGTCTGACTCCCTTCGTGCTGCTAGTCCTTCGGTCACGCGCCTTCTTGCTACTCTTGTTACTGACCCTTCCTTTGACTCCACGACTGCGTCTGCCCTAGTTGCTGAGCTTATCAACTTCACTGCTCGCTGTCGTCTAGACTACGCTGCCAGTCTCGTTGCGGAGTCTAAGGATGTCTGTCCTCCGTTCGTCGGGGGTGAGTGTGCTCTTAGCACGGACGTCCTTGAGGACAGGCAGGAGGAGTTCCAGTGCTTTGCGGCTGCTTTGCCCCATCTCGTGTCCTCGCTGATTGCCCCTGAGGGAGAATTAGATGCACGAGACATTCCGACTCCTTGATCATACGCAGAGGTGATCGAGGGTCCCTACCCCTCTCAGTGGCAGTCAGCCATGGACGCAGAGATGGCTTCCTGGAAGTCCACAAGCTCCTACGTTGACGAGGTTCCCCCACCTGTGGCGAACATCGTCAGTGGCATGTGGATTTTCAGGGTAAAGCGGCCGCCGGGTTCTCCGCCTGTCTTCAAGGCACGCTACGTGGCTCGAGGCTTCAGACAGTGGCAGGGAGTTGACTACTTTCAGACCTTCTCTCCCACCCCGAAGATGACCACTCTTCGGGTGCTGCTGCACATGGCCGCTCAGCGCGACTACGAGCTTCACTCTCTCCACTCTTTCATAGTTTAATCATTCTCATTTCTCGTCAGCATCTGCACAATCAGACGAGCCGATCGTCATCTCGTCCGGCACACCAACACAAAACAACAGCGTGGGACAGCACTCAGGCGCAGCCACCGATGGCGCCGCCCAGCCGATGCCTGGCATGGGAGGAAACAGGGTCGCACCAAGCCCACGGGAGCCTCGCGAAGCCCGTCGGCACGTGGAGTTCGCGGCAACAAGTGGCGAACAGGCCATCATGGCACCAATGCCACTCAAGCCGCAACGCCCGCCTTGCTTCGACCCGAGCCAGTGTGGAGGTCCGACGGTTCAGTTGTGGGTCTTTACGATGACCGTCTTCTTCGACGCGAATTACATCGAGTCGGACGCAGCGAAGATTCGGTATGCCGTTTCGCTGGTAAGGGGCCCTGACATGCGCCTACGATCCACCGTCGCAAGAGGAAGGGCCCACGGGCTCAGCTGTCACCTGGAGTTCATTCTGCAAAACCGCCCAATACAGCACGTGGGATGCGTGGTGTGCAGGGCTTCGGGCGCGCTTCGAGCAGATCGCGGCTTCTATTTTGGCGCGTCAGAGATTGCGCACTTGGTGGCAGCTTGGATCGGTTCAAGACTATACGAGTGGTTTTCTCGCATTATGCGAGCAAGTCGGCTATATGCACAAAGCGGAGCGGGTGGTCGGTTACGTTGGAGGGCTGAAGCCGGACATCTCGCACGAAATCATGCTACGCGGGCTCTCGAACTTCAACGAGATTCTCGCGCTCGCCTAGAAAATTGACATTTTACACCGTCCGAGACTGGGGTCCTACTATGGACATCGTCTACGGGGACCGATCGAGCACGCCAGTATACACGGTGTTGCGAGGAATGCAGCTGCTGCGCCGTTTAAGGGGCGCTGCTTCGCTTGCAACAGGCCGGGCCATCGCAAGAGCGAATGCCTAGAGGAGCTAAGGTGCCGCGGAGCAGAGCAGGGGAGGGAGTCTCCAAAGCAGGGAA